TTGAAAACAATCATTTTGAAACAACATTGAACAAAAGGCACAATAAATGGGAGGCATAGCTGTTCTAACAGCTTGAAAAATGCAAGAGTGAAAGATGTCTGGGCAAATGAAAAGGCTTTCATTAGGACTATAACATACCTGATGATTTCCTAATATTATAGCAACAGCATGAGAATCCAGGGTCAAAGGATTTATACTTTCCTGTGGATGGTGGCCTCTTGTGATGCCTCTGTAGAACTGCAGCTTAGATCATCTTCCTGTTGGTTGTTCCTGCTTTGGAAGTGCTGCTTGAGGTTTCCTGTTTAATTGGCCCCCTGTGCCATAAAAACGTTATGAATGAACATAGAACAGCAGAAGTTGCTCCAGATCTTAGCCTGAACTGTCCTCTACACAAAACTACAGTTCAACATAGCCACCATCAATTTGGACACATTTGCACCATTGTTTAACCCAGGCATCAAAACCAATTTGGAAAAATTCAGCGTTTTGCTTCGTGACCCATGATTTTAAAGCTGTTTTAATGTCATTCAAGTCATTGAATCTGAAACCATGTAGGTTGTGAAGATATAGACCCTATTTCCTGACAGCCTCTCCAATACTGATTCAAGTTTTTTTTATCAATCTGATTTAAACTAATGTGGATTAGGTACCACCTCTATACCATTTTGTAATATTTTTCCTTAAATCTTATGGACATATTTCTTAGTAATCTCATACTCCATACTCTTGCCCATTCACTTTTTTCCCAAGCCTACTTCCCATATTTCCTTCAAATGAACTTGTTCCTATTTGTCCATTAATAATAGTTTATAGATATCGCTTTCTGTACCTTTTAATGTTACATTATCTTCTTTAATCTCCCTCTGAATTATCGTATTTTCTATTTTTGTATATTTCCTACCCCCATTATACTTTTTCCTTATATCACTTGACCATTTCCCCAGTTGTAGATACTTGTAGATACTTTGTGATGAGCTTCTGTGATACAAATCACACAGAAGCTCATCACAAAATAAAAACAGTCTTAAAAGTTTTTCCTCACCGTTTTTATGCTGCATGAGGCTGCATGGTTCTTTCTGTGAAAACTGGTTCTGACAGCTGCTTTTACAAATCAGTCCTGTAAGTCAGGCATCAGTGGGAAGGCCATACATATTTACTAGGAGTCTGCATGACTAAAAAACCTGCTTTGTTTGTCTTAACAAAATTCATTTTGATTCTAAAGTGTTTTGGAAAAATCTTAAGGGATCTGTGTTGGATCTGTTACAGAGTTCCAAAAATTTTGTTAGTTTTTCATTAAGTTATTCACCCATTTGTGCCAATGGGGACACTAATAGGGTTCCTCCCTCCATCAGTTTTATGGCTATCAGGATGAATACACATTTACTACTCTAAGTCCCCCCAATTTTCAGAATGTTTCACTCATCCACTGATTTTTAGGATATTTTTGAGGTTTTTATGAACAACATTTTAAAAGAAACTACATGAGCTTTCCCCTTGGCTTTCTCTACAGTAACACAACATAACCAGGGCATTCATCTCCATAAGTTTCAGAAAGATTCACACATCTACTGATTTTAAGGAAATTTCTAAAGTTTTGTAAAAAAGTTTTTTAAAAAGGTACCCTCTCCAAAAGTGAAAGAAAAGGAGCCAGGGTGTAATTCCTGCCAAAATTGAGAAAGATTCACTCATCCACCAATTTTTAGGAATTTTTAAAAGTTTTACAAATAAAAACAACAACAACAACAATAACCACACCAGGAGCACCATCTCTCTTTTTCCCAACTCTAATAGGCTGAGGAGAGCCAAACAAGTTTGTCTGCACGGCCCAGTAGAGTTTGCTTGTGCTGAAAGACTAAGATGTCTCACTGGGACTTAGGACAGTTACGTACTTTCATGCAAAAATTGAGTACTGGATGTGTTCATTCATTTGTATGGGGGGTGGCGCTGCACAGTCTTCACAATGCAGGTCATAAGTACGGATTTGTTGCATCTGTTATGACTTTCGGCCCTCTTACAATTTTTTTGCACAGCCCTAATATTTACTTTTATAGATGCTCTTACTTTTTATGCTACATCCCCACACTTTGCAATTTAGTGCATGCAAAATTGGTTAGATTTTAATGCACAATGTATTTTGTAATTTGTATGTTTTTATGTCTTAATGCGGTATTGAAGCATTGCCAATTTGGAAGCCGCTCAGAGTCCCCTTCAGAGTTGAGATAAAGCGAGGTAAAAAAAAAGGAAATAAATCAATAAATAAATTAGATTATGCTACATTTTATTATAGCAAATATTCTAGGTAGACTAGTGCATGCATAGTTGGGTCCTGCATGCACTAGTCTGGGGTTTTGATTCCTTCAGTTTTAACAGATAGAATATATTCAAAATTGTTTATTAATGATAAAAGGGAACAGTTTCCTTGTATTAATTAGAAAGAAAGAAAGAAAAATATCCTTAACTATTGGTCCCAGTAAAAGCTCCATTGTAATTCATGCAATAACTTCAAATTGGTCCTCAAATTAGTGGATTTTTCAGTCTTAGTGGAGTCATTGTATATGTATTTGTTATACCTTTCCTGCCACCTTGTGTCCAAAATGGTGGACAATATGGTTTGATTTATCAATAAAAAGGTTTTTTTTTAATTGCCATGCTGTCTCCCTACAGTAGTAGTTCTAATGTAATAATTAAAGATAGGAAAAACGAGAGCAAGTCTTAACATGGATAATATTTAAATGTACAGCTTTAATAGCACAGTAGCTTTGAATGGTTCCAAACTATTCATTTGATTTGTGCTTTAAAAAGAAAATCTATCAAACAAATAATTTCACCCTAATGAATGTTTGTGAGTCAAAATGTGCATGCTTTAAATATTGGTGTTTTGATAACCAAAACATCAGTTGTGCCTGATTACTAAATGGCATCAGCCTGGGAAATATGAAAAATCTCTTTAATCAGAAGGCAAGTCTTGTATTTGTCAAGATTAGAGGATGCCAGTTTGGGTCATTAGTGAAATGTTTCAATTAATCATCCGTTTAGATCCGATGCTCTAATAGTCTCTAATATTATGCAAGGAAGCCCTGCCAAAGGTTTAAAAAAGGACTGGCACTGTCCCTCTTAGCCATAGCAAGAAAGGCTGTTTTCTTAAGAGCTGGGAAAATAGCCAGAAAAGACAGAATGACGGATCCAAATTTGGGAACAATTATTCCGAGTGTGTTGCAGCCATTTTCCACATAAACAGGACTTGGTCATATAGCTGTTAAATAAATACAGAGATTTGATATAGGATTATTGCCTTTTCAATGGTTCAGTTTAATGTTTGATGAATTGATTGTGAAAATGGCTCAGTCTATTTATTATTGTCACACAAATAAAAGAAGAGTACACTTTTAGGGAGCAATATGGCCTGACCTGCTGGGGATACTGGAGAAGCTCTTGGAAAAAAAGAGGGTTAGGGTTCAAATTCACATATGTAGAAGAAGAGTACATTCTCCTTTTACACATGTGATTAATTGCTTCAGGTACATCTTGTCAATATCCTTCTTGAATTGTGGTAGAAAGATGCTGAAGGAGAAAGTCCTGTACCATTTAGTTCATCCACTCTCCTCCTCCTCCCAATTCTCCTCCCACCTTAAGGTGCAATTGGGCTTACTTTCCCATTCCCAGTTTTGAAAATTTAGCTTCCAGTTCATTCAGCTTTGGAATGGGAGGGGATACCCTTTTTATATGTCATCCAAATATCTTGGACAACATCTGCAACTTATCTCTCCCTTCCTTGCACATTTTACTTAGGATGTTGGGAGAGAGCAAGGCAAATCACGAGCGCAGAGCGTGTAGCAACTTCCCTTTGCAGAAGCTGTCACATATGTGCACCAAATACCTCTGTACCAAGTTTGGAGACTGCAGTTAGTTCAAAACAGGGTAGCCAGATTGGTTCCAGAAATATCTAGGAGTGAGCATATTGCACTATACTAAAATCACTCCACTGGCTGCCAATTGGTTTCATGGCAAACCACATGGTGTTGGTTATAACCTTTAAAGTCCTACATGGTTTGAGTCCAGGTTCCCACTAGGATGGCCTTCCCCATATCCTCCAACCCTGGGGGATGTTTACTCCCACCATCTAGAACCCGACTGCAACCATCCCCCAGAGGATCTTTTCATTGGCCACCCTGATATAATGATAGAATTGTAGAGTTGGAAGAGACCACATGGGCCATTAGTCCAACCCCATTCTGCCTTCATGCAGGAAAAATACAATCAAAGATGTAATAGCTAAATGAGCTGTTAGAATTTAAGACACAACTGAAGACCTATCTGGCATGCATATCCAGTCAATTCTAAACCATGAATGTAACATTCTATTACTATTGTATTTTAATCTTTATACTGAAGGGACTAGAGCTGATGTAGTAGTGGAAAATTACCAGCCAAAGCAGAAAGTTCAGACAAGGAGAAAATTCAAAAGGGAAATGCCTAATAACAAACAGGCACAGGAGGAGCAATTGGCTGCTGAGGAAAACAAGGCACAGAAATACTGATAAGATCTGGTGCCAGAAGGGACAAAAGGAAGACATAGTGATGAAGCATGAATCAAATAAAATTGCCTGAAAATAGCCTGTAAAACTCAAGGTGTTGACTATTAAACTGAACAGCATCTCAGTTTTGTGTGGTACTGTCCTCTTTTTACCCAGCAGGGTGGTTTGATCAAATAAACCTGTTGGACGATCTCTTTGCTTCCAGTGTTTGATTGGATAAATAGAATCTGGAGATTTTGGGGCATTTGGTATTAGAGGGACATGGCAGCACATACCAACAGTATCATGTTTATATTTTATGTTGATGTGTTTTGACTGTGTTGTAACTCTGCCTTGAGCTGTGAGGAGAGGCAAGTAACAAATACAACTTCAGCATTGTTGTTGTTGTTGTTGTTGTTGTGGTTACTTGTATTTATTCTTCATCACCTAATATGCCATGTGATATTACTCTCCCATCCCTTTCAGATCGGAACAGATTGGGATGCCAAAGAGCGGATTTTCCGGAATTTTGGAGGCATCCTCGGGCCAATGGATGAGCCTGTTGGCATGCAGAAGTGGGGGAAAGGCCCCAACGTCACCGTCACTGTCATTTGGGTGGACCCCGTGAATGTCATTGCTGCCACCTACGACATCCTGATAGAGTCCAGTGCGGAGTTCACTCACTACAAGCCGCCATTGAATTTGCCTCTCCGGCCCGGGATCTGGACAGTGAAAATTCTGCACCGCTGGGTGCCAGTGGCAGAAACCAAGTTCCTCGTCTCTCCTCTGGCATTTTCCAACAGGCAAGCCATCAGGCAAGGTGAGTCCTTCTGCAGAAGGTACCTCCAAAGAAAAAGAAATGAGCTCTTTTGGATATGATAATTATCATAAAAGTGCAGAAGGCTTGAAGGAGTCAGGCTTGTAAAGTCCTACTATGCAATACTGGCAATCTGGGTTTGGGGTTGGGGTAATGATCTCAAGAGCAAGGCTTCGAAACCCCACTCCATGCCTCAATCTTTGGACTAGAAGTAGTCCTAAAATAGACCTTTTCTAAGCCATGCCCAAGGGCATGACAGGGTTCCAGAGCAATCTATGCATTAAAGCAGTTATTCTCAACCTGTGGGTCCCCCGGTGTTCTGGCCTACAACTCCCAGAAATCCCAGTCAGTTTACTAGCTGTTAGGATTTCTGGGAGTTGAAGGCCAAAACATCTGGGGACTCACAAGTTGAGAACCACTGGATTAAAGGGAAGCGAGGAGTTTGTATTCCGACCAGGTTTTCTTGGTGTTCCTCTACCATATGCAGAGACAGGTACAGGTTTTTTGATGATGTTCCTCACCCCTATGCAGAGGAGACTTTTAGATTCGGACCCAATATTTTGCTCCCTGCAGGAAACCTGTCATGATGAAGTCTCCTTAACTTTCATGTCTTTCAGCGTTTGTCACATTGTCACCACTTTTTATTATTTAAAGACATTTTCAGTGCAAGATAGGTGCTATGAAACTCTTGAGAGAAAAACGAAGACTTTGAAAGGAGCTTTTTTGGGTTATATTCACACGAACAATGTAGAAAGAAAAGCTCAATTTCCAGATTCAAACAGCAGTATAATGAAGCCTGCCTTTAGAAAAGTGAAGTAATAGAACAGAGCTGAAAGGGGCAGGGAGGTTGCTTTTCTCAAATCTTTTTCTATGATATTGAGAGGATTTGTTCCTTTCTAGGCCTTTTTTCACAGAGTGAATTGGAAAAAGGGCAAGAAAAGGAACAGAATCAGGCCAGGAGCATTTCCCAAGTTGTTTTTTGGGTTATCAGTAACTTTAAGGCGAATCCATCACAGGGTTTTCTTGGCAAGATTTATTCAGAGGAAATTTGCCTTTGCCTTCCTCTGAGGATGTGCCTAAGTGTGACGTGCCCAAGTAGTGGGTTTCTATGGCCAAATGGAGATTTGAACCCTAATCTTCAGGCTTCTAGTTCACGCTTAAACACCTATGCAATACTGGCAATCATTGTCATTATAGCGACATTCTGAAAAACTGTTTTTTAATTATACTGTTGTCCTTCCATTGCAAGACGTTGCCGATTGTAAGACMCCCCCTAATTTCATTATCTACAACAACAGAAATACATAAGATACACTTGCTATTCTAAAATGACCCATTTCAAGAGATGCTTATCTGGAGAGGGGGGGGGGGTGAGTCTTAGAATTGAAGAAATCCAGGTTGAAACCTTTAGTAATAGCTCTATTGTTGTTTACTAGCAAAACAACACACAATGGCAAAATTTACAAGAAAAACAATATCATAGTATCTATTTAATATAATTTAATCTCCCCATGAAGATGAGCACATTACACTATATAACACCATATTTGTTCTGGGTTATAAATGCCCTTTCTTAATTGGTTTTATCCTTGAAACATGGGGAAAGTTTATTAAACTGCAAAAACGTTGTCTTTGCAGGAGGGACATCCTACTATAGCACATTTTGTGAAAGTTTTTCAATGAACATCACATAGACTCTCAACTAATGTGACATAGTTTGTGCCACAAAAGCAATGTTTCTGGAGTAGAAATACTAGTAAGGACTGCAAAATTAAACAGGAAATACCACTTTCAGACTAGGAATTGAACATTTTTCAGATTTTGTTGCATAGTTTATCTGACAGAATGTCTGGCCAGTCAGATCTAGGATGCCACTCTGAAAAATCCTGTGAAAAGGAGACAATCCTTCTAAACATCTCCACTATTTTGGGGGAGGAAACTGAGTAATGCACCTTTATAGTAAAGGAGAGTCCTGCACCTAACTTTAAAGGAGGATGACTCCTTTTGGAAGCTTATTCAAATCCTTTAAGTATCCCTGATGTCAGTGGTTAAAGAAAGTCCAATGGTTTAAGAAATAGGCTGCATGTGTCCTCTTCTTCTCAAAAAAGCTGCAACAGATTTCCACGTAATGTTGCTACAAAACTATGCTGGTCCTTAACTGTTCTTAACAGTTATGAACAGAAAAGCAATATTGACTAATAAAATGATGAGGAGACTGACAAAAGAACAATCCATGGGTAAACTGAATATTATGTCAGTAAATACAAATGGTTTTTTAACACCTGTTAAGAGACACAAATTATTCAAAACATTAAAAGAAAAGCAAGTAAATATTGTATTATTGCAGGAAACACATGAAAAAGAGGATAAAACCAAATTGCTAAACAACAGAAATTGGGAACTACAGTTTGAATCAAGGGGCTTAAATAAAGCCCCTTGATTCAAAGGGGTGGCCATACTCATAAAGGATAATCTGAACTTTGAATTAGAAAAAGTCATTAAAGATACCGAAGGTAAATTTATAATGTTAATAGGTAAAATAAACAATACTCAGGTATCAAAGCAAGTGTCTATGCCTTAAACCAGAGACAAGTAAAACTCTTAAACAGAACCTGCTCAAAAACAGAAAAACAAGCATCAGGAGATATAATAGTCGGCAGGGACTTAAACTTACAACTGTACAAAAAACTGAAGAGCAATGGAACAGGGAACTCAAGAACAAATTGCAAAATAAATTTTAGGAAGTAGAACTTAATAGAGGCTAATAATAGAATAAGGAAAGCACTGATATTCCCACTTACTTCTCACATAGACATTCAACATTTACTACTGTAGATTATTTTCTGCTAGGTATTAATAACAGCCCCCTAGTGGCACAGCGGGTTAAACCGCTGATGGTTGGTGGTTCGAATACGGGGAGCAAGGTGATCTCCTGCTGTTAGGCCCAGCTTCTGCCAACCTAGCAGTTGAAAAACATGCAAGTGTGAGTAGATCAATGCTTCTGCAGGAAGGTAACAGCGCTCCATGCAGTCATACCAGCCACATGATCTTGGAGGTGTCTACAGACAACGCTGGCTCTTTGGCTTAGAAATAGAGATTAGCACCACCCCCCAGAATCGGACATGACTAGACTTAATGTCAGGGGAAACCTTTATCTTTACCTTTTATTAATAATGTAATGCCAATAAAAGAACTATTAGTGGCTAAACAATGGACAGGAGACTATGCACCTCTCTATTTAAAATAGGGAAATTATACCTAAAATAGAATGACAAAATGGCAATTTAATTCAAAATTTGCCTATAAAGAGAAAGACAGAAAAGAGATAAAAGACCAAATTATTTAATATTTTAACCTAAATAGAACCCCTGGAATGAAAGAAAGCATAGTTTGGGATGCCTTCAGGGCAGTAATTAGAGGAAAATGTATAACAGTTGAGAAGGGCATAAACAAAAGAGAAAAAGAAAGATTAAGGAAATTGAGATTTGAAGAAGAAGAAACATTCCAAGCATTTCAAAAAGACCAAACCGGGGGGGGGGGGGGGGGGGGGGAGGGGGGGGGGGGGGGGGGAGAGAGAGAATTGGAAAGAGACAAAAAACCAACAAAATTTGGCTGGTTTGGCTGCCACCAAGTAGCATGGCTTCCCTTCTGGAAATTGTGACGGAGACTGTTTCACGGTGTTCAAGCCATCAGAATAAATCTGATAAGTCCTGGCAAAAAAAAAAAAAGATGCTATAATGAAGACCCTTTGAAGCAGGTGGGAATATATGTAATTTTTAGAATTGTCAGGTTTGGGCCTTTGCGTCTGGAAAAGATTTCCCCAGACAAGTCTTTCCAGCTTTAGCATCACATTCCTTTGAGAAATTTGGGCAGGCTGGCTATGAATCTGGAAGGCAAAGCCTCACCAATTGACAGCAGAAGCTTAAAAAAGGGAAAGGCGTGGGCATCTCTTCACGATGCCACCAGTATAAGGGACACGGCAGGGATGGTAGGCACCGGTGTGTGGTTTTTGGCTTGGAATGCAGCATGGTTTCAAAGTGGGAGCAGCCTGTGTGTCTTGGCAGAGCAAAAAGCTCCTGTCCACACCTGGAAAGCCCCACAGTTGAGAAAGCGCAACTGGAAAGACCATGCTTTGGAGGAATGCCTCAACTCCCTCAGCTTTCACTCCTGTGTGAATTGAAGGGGGAATTTCCAGTAGGAATGTGCAGGAAAAGCACAGTCAAAGTACCCATTTCAAAATCTCTGGCAATAAGACGTGAGCCTCCCTTGGAAAGGAGAACAGTCACCAAGAAGGCCTTCTCTTATGTCTACACCTCTCTGAAGACTGAGAGAAGGACCTGTCCTTCATTTCTCAAAACATGGGAAGGATAGGCTTATAAGCAGGAATGCTTTCTTTCCATTCAGCCTGGATGCACTTTTTGCTGCTGCACATTACATTCAGCACCAACTAAATTTTTTAATGTTTTGTTGAAGGCTTTCATGACTGGAATCACTAGGTTGCTGTGAGTTTTTCGGGCTGTATGGCTATGTTCCAGCAGCATTGTCTTCTGACGTTTTGCCTGCATCTATGGCTAATGGCATCTTCAGAGGTTCTGTTGGCGGTGAAGCAATATACCTGTGGAATATTGTCCAGTGTGGGAGAAAGAACCCTTGTCTGTTTGAAGCAAGTGTGAATTATGCAGTTAGCAAGCCCGATTAGCATTGAGTAGCAAAGTCAATTCCTGAAGGTATTTGCATAGAGGTAGCTTGGCTGTTGTGCCTGGAGGCATCCTTTTCTGTGGGAGGTGTTAACTGGCACTTGGTTGTTTGCTGTCTGGAATTCCCCTGTTTTTGAGTAGTATTTTTTATTTACTGGAAACCATGAAAATGAACAAAATGTGGTTGCCAGTATTAAAAACTAGAATCAAGACAGTAATTAAAGAACACCATTCAGAAACAGGGGAATTCAAGACAGCAAGCAATCAAATGCCAATGAATACCTCCCAAACAAAAGATGCTCCCAGGCAACAGCAGCCAACAAATACCCTTGCTGATTGACTTTGCAACTGCAAAGCTATTCAGTGCTAATCAAACTTGCTAATTGCAACATTCACAGTTGCTTCAAACAGACCAAGGTTCTTTCTCCCACCATGGATATTCCACAGATACTGTATATATACACCCCACTTGCCTCACTACTAACAGAAGCTCTGAAGATGCCAGCCACTGATGCAGGCGAAATGTTGTGAGAGAATGCTACAGGAACATGGCCATACAGCCTGAAAAACTCACAACAACCCATACATTTTTTTAGTTTAGGGATTTTTAAAATCGAGGCGCGTATGAGAGTTGGTGGGGCACAAGACTTAAGTCGATACAGGTAAGGTTTCTCTTGTGAGACTGAACGTTGGATTGTGGTTTTTTTCTTTTTTGGTCTTCAGAAGAAGCCCTGAGGCTGCACGGTGGGCCGCCCAAGAATGCCTACATGGAGCAGAGTTTCCAAGGCCTGAATCCAGTTCTGAACATCCCCATCAACGCTGCACAGGTGGAGCAGGCGGCAAGGAACGCAGGGTTGACTGGCACGAAGCTGGAGGGCTGGGTGGACATCTTGGTAGGAAGCCTGTGGTCAGCAGCAGGCATCTGCAGCGCAGGCCCCACCTCCTGCCCCGTCCTGCAGCCTTGCAGCCAAACGCCTTGGAGCTCCTTTAGCCCGGACCCCAAGTCTGAGTTGGGCCCTGTGAAGCCCGATGGCCGATTGAGGTAGCACCCATCACGCCTTCCGTTGTGCTTAAAAGGGAATTGAACTCCGGGCTCTTGTGTGGCAGTGGCTGCACTTCAACATCTCCATTGACTTGGGTTTATTTGATCAGGAGAACCCTGCAGTTTGGTTTTTCACTAAAGGGTCCGGGAAAGTGAAACTGTCCCGTTATTTCCTCAGAGAATTACCCTATGTAACACTATGGTTTTTGTTCCTGGCTTATAAATGTCATTTCCTAGTTGGTTTATATCATAAAAACATGGTCAAAGTTGATTAAGCTGCAAAGACGTTGTTTTTGCGGAAGGGACATCACCCTGCAGCACATTTCACTCTAATTTTTCAATGAACGTCTCAACCAATTGCAACCTAGTTTATGGCATTTTCTAATTGCCACAAAGTTTCTGGAATAGAACAACTCCTTTCAAAATAATTAAACAGGAAATAACACTTTCAAACCAGGAACAGAACATTTTTCAAATTCGGTTACATAGTGTTGTCATTTCAAGTTTTTGTAACGAGGCAGGGGGAAGGAAGCAGATTTTAAAATGTGTCTTTGCGTAGCACAAATGTAGCATCGCTGAATTGGAAAATCATTATTTTATAGCATCTCAGCTCTTTGCAGTATTATTTCACATCGAATTTTATCATGCCTTTCCTTTCCCCAGAAGAAGAGATATACCTGAAAGAAGTAACAAAAATGACCAGATGGTGGAGGCTGAAATTTGCTATTGCTTTCCAAAGTAGCCCTCATAGAAAACATCTATGCCAAAGCACAATTTCAGTCACAGGATACAAGGCGTTCCCATTTTCTACCTTTATATTATTACTATTATTACTTTGTTAAAGCCTCTCCTCAGCCCACTAATATTTGCCGAGATTCAGTAGTTCACTTTCCAGATTTTGCAAATTGCAGAGGATTGTGCTTGTATGGCATCATCACACTAGAGAAAAAATCCACTTAAAATCCAGTTTCTGCCTCCTGCAGAATTCAGGGATTTGTAGTTTAAGGAGGAGCCTTTAACAGCCTCACTAAACTACAAACCCCAGAATTCTGCGGGAGGCAGAAACCAGATTTTATGTGGATTTCTTCACTAGTGTGATGAGATAATGGTTGCAATCCTTAAGTACCCTTACTAGGAAGTCATCCCCATTGGAAATACTGGGGCTTCATTCTCAGTAAGCTAGCATAAGTATTGCACTGAAAGAAACCCTTGACCCATTGAAGACTGAGGCCCATATTGTAGCAGGAATCTCCATAGATGAAACCCAATATAGATCAGGTGCTTGTTGTCAGATACAAAGGCATTGGATAAAGAAGTAAGTGGGGGAAGGTCCACAGGGAGGAAATATAGTTTCCTCTCTGTAGACTCCACCCTGTGTCCTTGATGCCTGTGATAAAGTAAATGGTTCAGACAAAGAGCTCTGTAAATTACAGCAGCTTTCATTTGCTGTAATTCAGGTAATGTGCTCTGCACTAGCAGTATAAACAGCAGCATTTAGCTCTTGAGAACCTATAAATAGCAATATCCCCACGTTGCTTTAGAGAATACATTAAGTTGGGGGTAGGTAACAACCTGTTTTAATCCTCCCCCCCCCCCCATTGGAATGTGATTGAAAATGAAATGGGATTCTTTCCCAACCCCAGAGTACAGGCAAACTTTCAGATTTCACTTTCTACCTGATTTGTTTTGTGAAATTCCAAGCTTGAAAGGAGACTGACTCATCCTTGTCCTGAATATATTTATTTATCTTATGTTTGATTTCTGAGCAAGGTTTGACTCCAGTTTCACATTTTGGAGCTGTGATGCCTTGTTCGGCTCTGGGATTGAAATCTAGTGAACAACTTAGTTTCCATTCATAATAATAATTATTATTATTATTATTATTATTATTATTATTATTATTATTATTTCCTCACCTCTCCTCACGGCTCAAGGTGGGTTACAACATTGCCATTTCAGCGACCTTCTAATAGTTTTCCCCCATTTTTATACAGATTCATTTCTCACGAAACTCTTGGGTATAACTCATGCAGACTATACACACTGTATGAGCCTGACATTCCATTCCCTGGATTTTATGACACTCCAAACCTCATGGATATTAAATGTACAAGTCATTATAAAATGGCCAGCTGGTTGAATAAAACAGTGTTTCTCTTCCCTCCTTCCCCATTCTGTTCATATCAAAGATCTACATCCAACTAGGAGCAGCAATTCTTAAATTTCAAGTTGTCCTATCCATATGTCCTATCCATCTGCATTTAGCCCTATTCTGGTACTCATAATATAGTAAAAAAAAATACACAAGTAGGAAAGTACTTGACTTGATCTGCTCACCTTCATTATTCTTTTCAGATTATTTATTTATTGTGTCAGGAGCAAACTAAACAGTTGTATTGCATTAAAAAAACAAAAAAAACCCCCACAAAGTTTGCAAACTTGGCCTTTGACCAGTACCTGGCCACTTGGAGTGCCTCTGGTGTTGCTATAAGAAGGTCCCCCATTGTGCATGTGGCAGGGCTCAGGTTGCATTGCAGTAGGTGGTCTGTGGTTTGCTGTCCTCCACACTTGCATGTCGTGGACTCCACTTTGTGGCCCCATTTCTTAAGGTTGGCTCTGCATCTCGTGGTGCCCGAGCGCAGTTTGTTCAGCACCTTCTTCCAAGTCACCCAGTTTTCTGTGTGCCCAAAAAGGTTTCTCTCATTTGGTATCAGCCATGGATTAAGGTTCTGGGTTTTAGCCTACCATTTTGGACTCTCACTTGCTGAGGTGTTCCAGCGAATGTCTCTGTAGATCTTAGAAAACGTATCTTTTCAGATAAGAAGCAGCCATTGAAAAAGGGATCTAGTACTAAATGGGTGGAATCGCCACACCATCCAGAAGGCTTACCTTTTTTTTGGAAAAGGATGATCTTTGAGATCGTAACCTTTTGGAAAACCAGAATCTCCAAAGCCTTTTGGAAATTTACCATTTGGAGGTTAATAGGCACTCCCTACCATTTGGAATGATCATAACTTTTTTGTAAAGTATGATCTTCCTGAGAAGAGCTAAAACTCATTTGAGTGAGTCTTCTCTTTAGTGGTATATATCCACCAATATTAATGCAAGGCAAGTTAGGCTTCTCAGCTGTTAGACTGGTATACCTGGTTATCTCTTTGAACTGTTAGGGACAAAGATTATGCCAATGCACAAAATATATAGCAGATCTTCAGAAGTGTTATTTCAGTTGCCCAAAAACATCTACTCTCCCATAAAATATATTTGGTTTTAAATAATGCTCTCAAGAGACAAAAATAAGTAGTCTTCATTAAAAGTAACATAGTTGGTTTACTTACAGACTTCATGTATTCAGCATGCAGGTACATTGCTTATCAGTTGAAAGTTTAAACAGTAATTTCTCGAAGGCATCCTGTTGAAGTCTCTTGTCTAATGCATAATGAACACTGATTAAATACACACACACTGACTTCTAAAATGGAGTCTGAATAGTCCCAGATCTGATCACATGGTCTGCAGTCCCATCCACAACTTCAAACAACATAGGGTTAAGGAAAAACTGCATACCAACACACACATATACAATACAGTAAACAATCTGAATTGTATACATAAAAAAACTAGTATAGGAGGCTTGAAGATGGTTGCTATTTCCAACAATTTTTCCCAACATTTCAGGATTCTATGGAAAATGTAGAAGAGGCTCTACTGCTGGATGTAAGTTGCATAATCCTTCTCCATTAGTTATGTTAACCAAGGCTAATGGGAGTTATCAAAAAATATGTGGACTCCACCATGCCCTCTGGCATTGTAATTGATGGTAGCCAAGCAATTGCACACATGCAGCTCCTTGGTTCATGTTCTGCTCATCATCACACCATGAGCAATGCTTGTGCAAGTACATTGATGCTGTTTCTCTTCTCTGAATGATGGTAGAAACATCTGCATGGGGCATTCACAACTGTACAGTGTAGTTAAAGTGATATTCTTGGAAAACAGTCACTTGCCACCATCCAAAAGGCATGGACAACAGACTGGCTACAAAAGGCATGGGCAAACTTTGTCCCTTCCGGTGTTTTGGACTGCAACTGCCACAAGGTCTAACAGCCTACCAGCTATTAGGAATTGTGGGAGTTGAAGTCCAAAACACCTGGAGGGACAAAGTCAGCCCATGCCTGGGCTGCAACCATCTCTAAGTGCCACAAAGGGGGGAGGGGGGCTGCAGAACATCCTGTGTGCTCTGTCACTGAGGTAGAAAGGTCCAATTCAAATGACTTGCAACAACATTGCAAATAACTTGACTTCTGGCAGGCTCATTGAAGTGGAAAATACCAGAACTCTTGCAAGGAGATGTGCTCAGAATATGAGCCATACATAAACAATGACACAAGGTGATTCTTAATGCTCTATGCAGAGCAGATTCCCGAAGTAAATGAGTGAACAGTACCATTTCAAATGTGAACATCATTTTGGAATGCTTTGCCGTTGCAAAGTACACAGACACATGAAGGCTCCAGAACTTTAGCATTGCATTGAGAAATTTCCTAAGCCCTTCTTCCTAGTTTTCTGCTTCTATGAGAGATTACCCCCCCCCCTCCAAAATTCTTTAACTTTCTTTCCCTTTCATTACTTTGATCGGTCAGGTTTCAAACAAACCATAAGAGGAAAGGCTGAAGGTGCCAGCAATGCTTAACCTTGAGCAGAGAAAGTTACTAGGACTACATCATCATCATAGTCGATCCCTCGTGGCCGAGTATGATGGCCTTCCAACTGTAGGGTCCTGGGGGTGGGTAAATATGTGACTGTAGGAATATGGCAGGCAAGTTGGTAGCCTCTAAATAATTGAATATAATAATAATAATTATAATAATTATAATCTTTATTTATATTCCCCTCTATCTCCCTGAGGGGACTCAGCAGATTACAGAATACATATATGGCAAACATTCAATGCCATTATACAATTAACAACAAAGACAGACAGTACACAGACAGAGGCAAAGGATTCCTCCTTTTCATCTCCTGAATCTGGAAGCTGTGCTCAATTCCAGCCATGGGGAGGTGCTCTTGTTTCATTTTCAACGCTGAGGAGCCTGTTGTCTGTAGATGCCTTCCTGATCAAATTACCGGCATGTCTGCATGGGCACTTTTTACCTCCCAATGTGATTTACTCACATTATTGTTTTCGAACTGCTAGGCAGGCAGAAGCTAGGGCTAACAGCAGGCGCTCACCCTGACCCCCAGCTTTGAACTGCCAACCTTTCTGCAGCTGGTGGTTTAAGCCACAGTGCTAATGCAGCCTCATCAAAACAGCAAAGACTTGTTCTCTGTTTCTGCAGAGGGCAGGATTTGGGCTCAGATTCCCAAACAGAGCCTATTATTATTATTATTATTATTATTATTATTATTATTATTATTATTTGAAACGCAACAAGATGAGTCCACAGCAGACAAGATCACTGCTGGTTGTTGTATTGGATCACACGTCAGACACTTCCCAAGTGTCTTGGACTGTGTGATTTATCGGCGAATAATAAGTGCAGATCCTAGTAAGGTGGCCTTATTATTATTATTATTATTATTATTATTATTATTATTTTGACTCAAAGTTTGGGGGACCATCTTGATTGATCAGGCAGTTCAACAAAGAAGCAAGCACCCGGTGGGGAGGTGAGTTCTCCTTAGCTGGAGGTCCTCATAAAAAGGCAGCTAAGGTGAGATCCATATGAATGTCCAGCATCATGCAAGGCGGTCATCTTTGAAATCATACCAAGAATCTTCGTAGTGATGGTCCAAATGTTTCCAGAAAGCATGAAGAGGTTTAGCTAAGTGCCTGTTAGGTAGCTGTAGAAATGATTTCATTGCCCAAAAGTTTATTTGGTCTCCCCGTTCATTTTTTCCGCTGCTGAGTCTTTTGGTTTCCAAGGAAAGTGTCCCCTGCGAATCCCTTGTATTTGCTTCTGAAACATTATGGGGAGGGAATGAAACCTTGCTGAATATCATGACAGTCATTATATTATGTGTTCCCCTGACAAATATAGAAGCTGTAAATCCACCAGGACCCCAATTCCCCTTTTTGGTACACATACTGCTTCTTTCCGGTCTTATTGTTTCTGCCTTTGTTACCTTATTTTGCTCACGAGTGTGACCAAAGGTGCTACCTCACTAATACTTGCAAACGCGTTTACCTGATTGAAAGGAAACAAGAATGGGGAGGAAGGAAGGAAATATCTCCTCTGAAATGAATGTACAATCTATGCAAATTCTCTCTCTCTCTCTCTCTCTTTTTCTCTCTCTCAGTAATTAAAAGGAAAAAAAGATGAAGAAAGAAAACTTATAAGTATTAGACTCGTAACCTTGCCAAATAAACAGCAAGATACTGTACAGGTGCCTCTGATAGCAGAGCCGTTGAATATTCGGCACAGTTCATATGTGCTGCATTTGTATATTATAAATGACTTGTCTTTGATTCTGTTTGTGGTTAGAATCACCCTTGATTGGAAAAAAGGTGATCACATCGCTTGTAAGAACAGCACCTTCTGTTTTGCTGAGAATATGCCAGGTGAGGCCATCCAGGGTGGCAAATATTTCCTAGAGGATGCCACTGACAATAACAAGAGCACCCAAAGGACCAACTCCTAGTTTCAAAGGTTAAGCCCGAGGTGGGCGGTTGGTTGAGAGATTTCCCTATGGGTAAATCAGTTGACCTGGACTATTCCATACCATGGCATCCTATGAGTTGCCCTTTTTAGAGAAAGCCTTAAGTTCCTTCATCGTCTTTTAAATGTGGCCTTAAAACTGTGTTTGGAAATTTTAGCTGTTGTATGTTCTGTCTCTCTCAACTATGGTCAAATGTATTAAAAAACAAAAGCACATTGAGACTTCTGTGGCTTTTTAAAAATTATCTTTAGTTGTTGTTCTGCTGCTGAATGGCTATCACTTATTTTACACTTCACAATTACACTGAAACAGTGTTTTAAAAGGGGAGTCCAAGAGGAATCAGGAGGGGAAAATGTATTGTTTAATCCTTTTGGCCAAGAAGGCTCTATATGGGGAAGTTGACCATAGAGGCTCGTAGATAAGAAGGCCCATTAGCAAGGAGGCTATATGAGGCCCATAGGCACATGGGCAAAGTGGCTCTAGGGGGAGTTGACCATGGGGACACATAGACATGGAGGCGCATGGGGAAGGAGACCTCTTTGGGGAAAATTGACCATCGGGGCCCATAAACAAGAAGGCATATAGGCTAGGAGGCTGTATGTCCCATAGGCAGATGGGCACATGGGCAAAGTGGCTCTGGGGGCAGGGTTGAACATGGGGACATATAGACAAGAAGGTGCATGGGGAAGGAGGCTGAATGGGGCCCATAGGCAGATAGGCACATGGGCAAAGTGGCTCTAGGGGGGTTGACCATGGGGACATATAGATAAGAAGGCACCTGGGGAAGTAGACCTCTTTGGGGGAAATTGACCATCGGGCCCTTGGGCAAGGAGACCGTATGGGGCCCATAAGCAGATAGGCACATGGGCAAAGAGGCTCTAGGTGGAGTTGACCATCAGGGCTCATAGATAAGAAGGCACATAGGCAAGGAGGCCCATGGGCAAGGAGGCTGTATGGGGTCCATAGGCAGATAGGCACATGGGCAAAGTGGCTCTAGGGGGAGTTGACCATGGGGACATACAGGCAAGGAGGGGCATAGGCAGATGGATAAGGAGGCTCTAGGGGAAAGTTAACTGTGGGAGCCTATAGGCACATAGACAAGAAGACTTGATAAGGACATTGACCATGGGGGCCCAAAGGCAAGGAGGTTCTATGGAGAAGTTGACCATAGAGGCCCATAGGCACAGAGGCTGTATGGGAAGTTGATTATGGGAACACATAGGCAAGGAGGCACATGGAGAAGGAGGCCTCTTTGGGGAAAGTTGACCATCTGTGCACATAGGCAAGGAGACACATAGATAAGGAGACTCTATAGGGACATTGACCATGGAGGCCCAAAGTCAAGGAGGCACATGAGCAAGGAGACCTCTTTGAGGAAGCTAACCATGGGAACACACATGCAAGGAGGCGCATGGGCAAGGAGACTATGCAGAAGTTGACCAAGGGAACCCAGAGGCAAAAGGGCACATCTACAAGGAGACTATAGGGACATTGACCATGGGGGCCCAAAGACAAGGAGGCACATGGACAAGGAGGCTCTATGGAGAAGTTCACCTAGAAGCCCATAGGCATGGAGGCTGTATGGGGAGTTGACCATGGGACACATAGGCAAGGAGGCTCATCGATAAGGAGACTCTATAGGGATGTTGACCACGGGGGTCCAAAAGCAAAGAGGCACATGGTCAAGGAGTTCTCTTTGGGGAAATTTGACCATAGGGGCCAATAGGCACGGATGCACATTGGCACATAGACAAGGAGGCTCTCTGGAGAAATTGACCATGGGGACACATAAGCAAGGGGACTGATCACAGAGGCCCAAATGCAAGGTGGCACATAGGTACAGAGGCTCTATGGGGACACTGACTATAGGTGTCTGTGGCTGTTCATAGGTGCGTCACAGAGGTAAGGAGACACCTCAGGGACATTGACCATAGCTGGTCCATCTTGAACACAATTTTGCGGGTGGTTGCCAATGGTTAGCTGTTTATGTTTATATTTCAAAGCATATTCCTCCCTTCAGCAAAGCTTAGTCAAATCTAAATGTTTGCACAAGCCATGTTAGAACGAGGCTGGCACAACTGGAGGTAGAAGAATATGTTTTTACAGTTACAATATGTTGAGGTATACAGAAAAAATGGATCTTTTCTCAGCGGGTTTCCTTCTGTTTGCATAGTAATTGCCTCCTATTAATGGCAGCTGAGATTCTCTAATAAGCTCACAAAGTCAATGTGCCAGGCATCAGTGGCTGGATGACAGTTCCCTGTTCGGCTCAGGAAAAGGGGGAGAAACTTGGCTGCGTCTCAGCTTGGCTGATGAATAAACTTATTTAGTGCTTGTCAGGTACCCTCCAGAGAAACAGCCTCACCTGCTAGTGTTTGCCTTCATAAAGGGGAAAAGACAAGGCAGCCGGGATGGATGTCCATATCATTTAGTCACGGATGCCACTGAGTAGATTTGGCAAACGCTTTCGGAAGAAAGAGAAACAAACCTGCCAAATGTTCAAAAAGGCACTTAAGGGACATGGACACACATGATGCAAAGTCAATCACAATTGCTTGTGATGAGAAGCAGCAGCTGGAATGAAAGCAATGCAATGCAAGCAGAAGTTGGAAGGATTCGGCACAAGGTGAGACTGCAGCCCCTGCAAGGCAAGGAGACCAACACGTTGCCTCACTTCACCTCTTTGTCATCTGTGGTCTAGTGCTTCTTATACCTTTTCACTTGTGACCGTTTTCCACCCAAAAAAATGTTGACAGGACCCCAAGTATTTGGGTATATAAAATGGGTAGAAAAAACAAACATTGACTGATAATAAATCAGCATTTACAAGTCTTGCTAAACACACAGATTTTCCTTTTTGTGGAGTACAGCTGGAGCATTTACTGCAGAGTCCATTGTAAACACTGCATATTGTTGCTAACAGATTTGTGCAAATGGGTTGTTACAGGATGCTGGTACACTGAATGATTTATACTTTACAACCTCCCTGAAATGTTACAAGCTGGATAGCAAGTGTTCCAGAAGCAAGCAAAATATAACACAGTCCTTTCACAGCAAATACATGTTTCAGCCCATCTATCATCAGAGTCCAGCTACTAGCATCTGACCTTATCTACACACTGTTTAGTAAACTCACAGATTCAGGTTTTCATTCAAAATATCCAGAGGCTTTAATCTTCAACACTGCAATATTTACAAATATACAATCAGGATTCGCAGATCCTCATTCCTTGTACTTGCAAACAATCAGAGTCATCAGATAGCCATATACAACACAGGAAGATAATCACACTGAGTCACACAGGAGAGAGAAAGATGGATTCCTTACATAGCCACCTGCTGACAGGTCATCAGTCAGGGACATTGGCTGATGCAACCCATTTGCAATAACCTTTGCATGGTTATGACTCAGCCATGACCACATCCCCTTAGGTATTGAATAATGACATTCAGGTGCTCTCAATCAACCACACATTCATCAAACAATATTTTCTTATGATTATAAATCTTGTCCTATTTCTATTTGGCATGAGCAGCATTCAGAAACTTTTTCTTGCTTCCAGATTTGTTGTAACCCTAAACTGAGTTCAGGGAACCCCATTTGGAGTCAGGACCCATCATTTAAGAAGCAGTGACCTAATGGAGCTAGAGCTCCCAGAACCAAAGCAGCAGTGAGATCATCTCCCATGGCACTCCTTGAAATCCCCTACTTTCTTTGATCTTACTTACTTTTTAATAGCAGCTAAGGTTGGGAGGAATGGATTTCCTCAGCAATAATGTAGTGTCAACACTGCAACATATTGTGGAGGGGTTAGTCTCTAATTAGCCATTACCACCATAAGCTCCACAAAGCCCTCTTCCTTGTCAAGAAGAGAGCTCCTTGAGCTGTTTTGACAATGCTACTCAACACAGATACCTGCATTTGTGAACTCTCCTTGGGCCAGAGACCAAGAACAACACTGAGGTACATGCAATGACCAGACAAAAGAGCAACAGCAAGGTGACCACTTCCCCTTCTTTCCCAGGAAAAAATAAACTCGGAATTCCACAAAATATTGCCATCACATGTAAAGTGGAATAATAGCACTATCAAAGTGTAGTGAGAGAGGGCTTTAAAACTTTCCCTTCCCTCATTGCAAACATATTGTAAATACTCAAGTATAAGCCTAGTTTTTCAGCCCTTTTTAGGCTTAAAAAGCCCCCCTCGGCTTATACACGGGTGAGAAACCTGGTGGGAAGGCGTGGGTCTGAAATAATAGCTTCTTTCAGCCCCACACCTTCCTGCCAGGACCTTCACCTTTCCACATAGCAACCCAGCTCTCCTTCCTCTCCTCCCCTCTCGGCGCTAGTCTTTCCCACTTTTCTTTATTCATATACGCACAACATTTCCCCAAAATGTATAGTTATAGTAAACTATGGTGATTATTAGAAGAATACATAATCACATTTACATTGAAGAAGGTTAGAATAATGATTTGATCAGAGTTGGACTGTCTTATCGTTCTTTATGTAAATATTACCCAAAAAAACCCTAACCTCCTGATTCCTCAATCAATGTAATTTTATTGGTATTTATTTTGATTTTGAAATTTACCAGAAGCTGTTGCATTTTCCACCCTTATACTCGAGTCAATAAGTTTTCCCAGGTTTTTGGTGGTAAAATTAGGTGCCTTGGCTTATATTCAGGTCAGCTTACACACGAGTATATACGGTATTTCCCTCCCTATCTCACCTACCCTTATCCTGAAAAAAATCAATAGGTTTAAAATAAATAAAACTCAATAGGTTTTAAACAAAAAAAAACCTCAAAAATGTCTTGCTTCAGTTTGGCTTATATTCAGGTCGGCTTTTATTTATTTCTTTATGATATTTATAGCCCGCCTTTCTCAGCCATACGGCAATTTAAGGAGGGTTACTGATTGGCACAATTTGATGTCAGGCATTCATAAAAGTGCCATTAAAAACAATCAACATTACAATATAAAACATAAATAAAAACCGTTAAAGCATATAATCATTGGTGTCATCTTGTTAAAAACGTTATCCAGTAACATTGTCAGGCCATTCCATGTTCATCATTCATAGTTATCTATTCTGCTGCATTCCCAAAAGCTGCCTCAAAGAGCCAGGTCTTTACTTTTTTTCAGAAACTCAGGAGGGAGGGGGCTGATCTAATATCCTTGGGGAGGGAGTTCCATAGCCAGGGGGCCACCACTGAG